TCAGAATCCTCCTGGGGCATTTGGGCGCCTCGCAAGCAACTTCGACGCAATGGAAGGCTGGGGCCGTTTGAAGGCCCTTTGGGCCTCACTTGAAGCCCTCTTGGCGTGTGGGCTCATTTCGGGAGCAGCCTTGGTGCCTCTCGGGCCATCTTGGGCGCCTCAAAGGTCGTTTTGGTGCCCTTTTTGGGCGTGCTGAGACCATCGAGGGCGCCTCTGGCGCCGTCTCGGAGCGTCGGCAGGCGACCTCGCGAAAAGCCTTGAACCCCCCCAAGAGGGATATTCATGTTTTTTGTTAATTGGTGCTCCCTCGGGAAACAATTTGGAGCCCACTTGCTCCGTCTCGGATGCCTCGCGGGCAGCGTCGAAACAATGGCGGGCGTGCTGGGGTCGTTTGGGGGCTGTCGGACCTCCTTTAGGGCCCTTGTGGCGTGTCCAAGCCAATTTGGGAGGCCGCCTTCTTGGGCCCCCTTCGGCGATCTTGGGCGCCTCTTGGACCGTTTTGGCGCCCTCTGGGGCCCTACTGGACGCCTCCTGCGCCGTCTCCGGGCGCCGGGCAGCGGGAGCAGGCAACCGTGCGAAAATCGCTGAGAAAACGCAAACGAAATCAATGATGTTCGCCCCTTGCGTTTCTCTCGGAGCGCCTTGGAAACCGCGTGGGCCGCCTCGAAGCGGTGGTCGGCGTGCTGGGGGCGTCGCGGTGCCATCGAGGCCCCCTTCAGCACCTTTTTTGGCGGGTCCCGGTTCGTTTGGTCGCCCGCGCGGCACTGAGGCGCCAGTGCGGGCCCCCCTCGGGCCCGCCCATCTGCCATGCGGGCGCGCTCCTCCTCCTCCTCCTCCTCCTCCTCCTCCTCCTCCTCCTCTCCTCCTCCCCTCCTCCTCCCTCCTCCTCCTCCTCCTCCTCCTCCTCCTCCTCCTCCTCCTCCTCCTCCTCCTCCTCCTCCTCCTCCCCTCCTCCTCTCCTCCTCCTCCTCCTCCTCCTCCTCCTCCTCCTCCTCCTCCTCCTCCTCCTCCTCCTCCTCCTCCTCCTCCTCCTCCTCCTCCTCCTCCTCCTCCTCCTCCTCCTCCTCCTCCTCCTCCTCCTCCTCCTCCTCCTCCTCCCCCTCCTCCTCCTCCGCCCTCCTCCTCTCCCTCTCCTCCTCCCCCTCCTCCTCCCCCTCCTCCTCCCCCTCCTCCTCCTCCCCCTCCTCCTCTTCCTCTTCCTCCTCCTCCTCCTCGTGGAACTCCCTGGAGGGGGGCTCGAAGCGCGTCGCGGGGCGCGCCGGAAGGGGCGGGGCGAGGCAGGGGAGAGGCGAGGAGGAAGCAGAGGGGAGAGGGGGGGGGGCAAGCAGGGTGCGCTCGCGTCATCTCTGACGCCCCACCCTTCCCTCCCATCCCTTGGCATGGCGTCGATCTCTCCTGCAGTCGGATGTCGAACAGGGCAATGATCCCGAGAGGGTGCGCGATGCATCGCAGAACACGGCATAAGAGGGCGCAGAAGAGCATAGCATGGCGTGGAGAGGGAGAGGGAAGTGGAGGGGCGGCGAGGTGGTGGGGCGCGGCGCTGCGGATTCAAAACGAGAGCCCCACGCGCAGTTCTGTTCGTCGGCGGCGAGGCAGAGGCAGATGCGCGGCTACTCGGGGCAACGGAAAAGCTGAGTGACCGGCGTGCAAGACGGGGGAAGAAGACGACGGCGGCCGCGCGGGGGGAGGGGGAGGGGGCAAGCGCTCAGACGTGGAAGAGTTCCGCGTAGAGCAGGCCGGAGCGGCCAGCCGAGGCAGCGGTTACCGCTGCAGCGGCCGGAGCCGCGGCCAGGGCGCGCCCGCGGGCGCTGCCAGGGCGCAGAACCCAACGCACAGGAGGGGTGGGAATAACACATCGCCAGGACAATATGTTCCGCTTGGCCTTCACGAGTCCACGAACATGGCGACGCGACTTGCGCAGTTCGCAAGCCCCGACGGGGCCGCGAGGTACCTGGCGGCACTTGCGCAACTCGCAGCTTCTCAGGGAACCGCGAGGTCTCGCCTGACTACAGCCTTCGCTAGACCTCACAAGGGCTCAAACAAACTTTTTCTGGCTCCGAGAGCGAGGAAAACTGCCAGCCTCCCATATGATGGGGCGGTGGCTCCGCCGAGCAGAACCTGCTGTGCATCCGCCCTCGGCTGCAGAGTCGGCCGAAATTGCAATTCCACAGTTCGTAACCTCCCAAGGAGCCATGAGGTCTCGCCTGACTACCGCCTGCGCTGGACCTCCCAGGAGCCCCCCCGAACGCGGCGACATTCGCGGAAAACGCAGCACCCCATGGAGCCGCGAAGTCTCGCCTGATTATTCGGCGGCAGATCCTGGAAGCTTTCTGGGGAATTGGTGGCCTCCGCGGCCTTGCGTGCTGCCGTCGCGCGCTGCTGAAGCTGGCTACCACGGCGGGCGGCGCCTCCTCGTCATCCCTCCTCCTCCATTGTTTTTCTCCTCCTCCACCTCCTCCTCCCCCATCTCCCCTCCGCGGCCGGCCGGGGCGGCACGGCGCCGCCGCCCCCCCCCATCCCGCGCCCCGCCTCCGCATCACCCCACCCCGACCAACAGCCAGGGCGCCACCTCCGCCCCTTGTATTTCGGCGCGGCCCCGTCCCCCCCCCGATCCCGCACGCCCCCTCCGCATCACCCCGCCCACCAGCCAGCGCGCCCCCTCCTCCCCGACCACCCCGCGGCACGGCACCGCCCCCCCCTATCCCGAACGCCCCCTCTGCATCCACCCGCCCACTGGCCAGCGCGCCCCCTCCGCCCCGACCCTTTTCATTTCGGCACGGCGCCGCCTCCCCCATCCCGAGCGCCACCTCCACCACCCCATCCACGAGCCAGCGCGCCCCCTCCGCCCCGACCCCTTCACTTCGGCACGGCGCCGCCCCCCTCCCACCCGCGCGCCCCTTTTGCATCCCCCCACCCACCTGCCTGAGCGCCCTTTCCGCCCCGACCCCTTATTTCGGCACGACACCCCCCCCCCCCATCCCCATCCCGGCGCATCATCCGCACCCCCCAACACCCCCACTAGCGCGCGTTCCCCTTACCTCTAGACCCTCCGCATCCTCCCACCTACCAGCCAGCGCCCCCCTCCGGCCCGCATCCCCGCCGCTGCATCCGCCAGCCAGCACGCCCCCTCCGCCACGACCACGACCCCTTTAATTTCGACACGGCACCTCCCCCCCCCGACCCGATTCTTTTCATTTCGGCACGGCACCGCCCCCCTTCCATCCCGCGCCGCCCCCCCCTCCACATCACCCCGACCACCAGCCAGCGCGCCCCCTCCGTCCCGACCCCTCTTTTTCGGTACGGCACCGCCCTCCCGCCCTCCCCATCCCGCGCGCCTCCCCTGCATCACCCGGCGCGCCCCCTCCGTCCCGACCTCTTTTTCGGCACGGCCCCCTCCCCCCCCGGCCCCTCCAGCGTCCTCCCACCCACCAGCCCGCACCCCTCCGCCCGCCCGCGCCCGCCCCCCCCCACCCCCAACCAGCGCGCCGCCCCCTCCCTCCGACCCTTTTCTTTCGGCGCGGCACCGCCCCCTCCCCCCGACCTTTTCGTTTCGGCACGGCACCGCCCCTCCCATCCCGAGAGCCCCTTTCTGCATCCCCCTACCCGCCTGCCTGAGCGCCCTTTCCGCCCCGACCCCTGTATTTCGGCGCGGCACCGCCCCCCCCTCCCGAGTGCCCCCTCCATCACCCCGTCCACCAGCCAGCGCGCCCCCTCCGCCTCGTCTCCCTTTCTTTCGGCACAAAAGCCATGGCACGCGTACCACTTGTTCCGCTAAAGCGGGGGACCGGAAGACATCGGATCCGCGGACCTCGGAACCCGCCCGCGTTAAGATTCTGCGGGGGAGGGGGGTTCGGTCATTAACTTCCCAAGATGGGCCCTGTGCTGTCTCGCGCACCCCCATCAACTTTCCGCGCGCGGGCCCCACTCAACATGCTTGTGTCTCTCTCCTCCCGGTGCAGCGCGCAGCTCGTCCAGACGCCGTCCGTTCGGCGGCGCCGATGTTATCTCGCGAACGCATCATCGCGATTTTCACCTCGAGAAGAAAATCTTTCGTCCTGCTTAAATATTACCCTCCTGTTCCTGCCCACCTTCTGCAGAGCAGGGGTTGCGAGACGAAAAACATTGGATCTCGTAGGTGTTGAAAGGGAGTTCGCGCTCTCGTCTTTTCGAGCGCTTGGCAAACTTAAAAACCCAAAGAGGTCTCCAAGATCAAGACGCCCAACAAGCCCCGAAAAGGACCTCAAAGTGGCCGAAGATGCCCCAAGATGGCCCCTCGACGAGCCAAAGGGGAAGACGGCCGAAGACAGCCCCAAGAGCTTCCCCAACGACCCCCAAAAAGTCCAAGAAAGGCCTACGTTGACCCAAGATGGCTTCAAGACAGCCGGTGAGGCCCCCCGGACGGCCTCCAGTAGACCAGCAGCACGGCAGACCCTGTGTAGTCTCGCACCGCTGAGGCTCCAAGAGGCCACCAAAAAACCCCACAACGCCCTGACTTTACGCGTTCTGGACGTGCACCCCGCGAAGCGAGAGACATCAATAAACACGCCAGCCTCGTCAGAAACGTTCAGCAAATTCAGCTGCTCGACTAAAGCCCCGAGCTTCACCCCGTCAGGGTCGGGGTGCTGTTTTGAAGCCCAGGGGTGCGAGACGACATACCGATGCTTGGGCTCGTCCCTGGAACTGGGTAAGCCCTCGCTCCCGACGATCGCCTCGGCAACAGGCACGTCCTGGCAGCGCACCATCGTGGAGCCCAGTCCTGCAAGATGTCGAAGATAACGGCATCGGACCCACTTGACCTGGGCACCGTCCAGGTAAACCAGAAAATCCCGGTAACGCCGCTGCAGCTCCGCCGAGCTATAAGTATTGATCCTCTCGAAGGCGTCCACCGCCAGTCGCCGGAACGACCGCGGCCCAGAGAGACCAGAGAGGAAGGCCACCTGCAAGCAGTTAAAGGAAAGGCGTGAGTAACGGCGTGAGCACAGGCATGCGCGTGCCACAAATCATCGTCGGAGGCGTTGTTGCCGGATGATGCGATGAGAAAGCCCTCCACGCACGACAGCAGGATGCTCACCGCGACCAGCGCGGACGTGAAGCCAACCCAGGTTCCCAATCGCGCCGAAAACGCACATGACCGTCCCCACGAGACCAATCTGATGCAACGCAGCAATCACCAACCCGCTGTCTGGGCCAGGCCACCCGAGGGAGAAGAGCGTGAAGTACGCCGCGACGGATGCAAGCACGCTCGCCGTCGCGAACAGGAGCATGGCCCGAGCCACCCGCGCCGTCCGGAAGCGCCGCAGCGAGCGGAGCCTGAGCACGATGACGTGGTACGGGATGAACAGGGTCGCGATGTAGGCCCCGTAGACCAGCCCCAGGCACGCTGCGCGCCACGCCGCGCCCGCCGCGCCGTGGCACCCCGGGTCCAGGGCGGGCTGGGCGAGCCTCAAGGGGCACAAGGACACACGAGTAAATGCACACAAATAAAAGCATTCCCCATGTTTTCCCATATCTTATGGGTTTTGCACTCCCCTCCACCTCCCATACTTTCCCATATTCTCCTAGGAATCGACGAGTAATTGTGTCTGTGTGTTTTTTCCTCTCCTGAGAGCCAGGCGACCGCGGTGACCGTGGCGCACGACCCGAAGCGCCGCGTCCACACGTGCAGCGGAAAGGCGCGGAACCGGCGGCGCACGGAGAGGCGCCAGGCCGCGAAGGCCAGGGACGTGGGCGCGGCCAGGGCGAAGTTCGGGGATGGACAGACCTCCCTTTGGCTCCTCCTCCTCCTCCTCCTCCTCCTCCTCCTCCTCCTCCTCCCCCTCCCCCTCCTCCTCCTCCTCCCCCTCCTCCTCCCCCTCCCCCTCAGCAAAACGTGGTTTCGTGAGAACGACCTGGGGCCCAGACCTGGCGGGCGCAGGCCTGGAAAAGGACGGCCACGGCGCCCTCTCGAGACCCGAGAACGGACACTTCACTCTGCTGGACGTGGCACCGTTGGGGGCTCCGTCCGCCCCCGAGAAGTACGGCCAGGACACGGCCCAGTACGCGCGGCCGCCGCGCAGGCCGTCGTGCCAGCAGGGGCGCGCCGTGGCCAGGTGGGCCGCCGAGGGCCCCGCGAGCGCCAGCAGCGCCAGGGCGACCAGCGCAGCCCGGGCGACGACCAGGCGGCGAACGCCCTCCCGCGCGCCGTCGTCGCTGTCGACCTCCGGCTGCTCGCTCACCTCGAGAGGCCCGTTGAGACAAGACAGCGGGTCGCCAGCCCGGCTCTCCCCCTCGGGAGCGGCCAAGAGGGGGTGTCCAAGAGGGGGGGGTGCAAATCATGACCGGCGGCATGTGCGCGGCCCGGCGGGGGGACTGGGGATGCAATGAGACAAGAAGAGGCGCCATGAAATCAGGGGAGACATCATATGGCCCCCGCCACGATATCCCCCCCCCCCTATTAGCCATCCCCCCCTCTTTTCCGCCCCCGATCTCTCCTCCGCTCGACTTCGACCTCCCTGGGACCCCGGCCCGGGGCCCGCCCCGACCCGCTGCCCGAGGCGGATCCCCGGCCGCGGCGACGCGATGTCTCCGGAGGGCCTCCGAGAAGACGAGAGAAGGCAGGGAGGCCCGCCGTTGTCTCGACGGCCACCCCGCCCCCTCGCCGCAGAACGCGGCGGCCTCCTGCGCCTGCGCCTGCCGGAGCAAGCGCAGGAGGCGCGCTTCCCGCTGCCCCGCTGCCTTGCAGGGCCGCCGCTCCCGCTTCCGCTCCTGCTGTTGCTCCTGCTCCTGCTCCTGCTCCTGCTCCTGCTCCTGCTCCTGCTCCTGCTCCAGCTCCTGCTCCTGCTCCTCTTCCTCCTCCTCCTCCTCCTCCTCCTCCTCCTCCTCCTCCTCCTCCTCCTCCTCCTCCTCCTCCTCCTCCTCCTCCTCCTCCTCCTCCTCCTCCTCTCTTTCTTCCTCCTCCTCCTCCTCCTCCTCCTCCTCCTCCTCACTTCCCTGCTCCCATTCCTCCTCCGCCTCCTGCTCCTCCTGCTGCTCCTCCTCCTCCTCCTCCTCCTCCTTCTCCTTCTCCTTCTCCTCCTCCCCTGAAATCTTGGCGTCTCAGTTTTTCCAAGCCGGGCGTTTTCGCCCAGTTTCAGCTAACGTGGGGGGCTCGCGGTCAGGGCGAGGGCCAGAGCCTCGGTCGACGTGGTGGCGTGGGCGTGGGGCGCCATGCACGCCTCGACTGCAACGAGAGCGCTCCAGAAACTGGCGGGCGCCCAAACGGGCCAGGCCTGGGACCCTCGCAAAGCGATCCAGCTCAGGAACTAGCGCAGGAAGCCGAGGTCCCGGGTCCCGGGTCGTGATCTGTCACAATGGACAAGCGCGTTCCACGACTCGCAAGGTAGCTACTCGCAAATGGCATGGATCCGTTTCAATGAATTTGCGATATATGTTACACAAAGGCAGACGTATGGTTTTTGGGACGAATGCGAGAAGGCACTTTCGGCGACACATTGTTACAATCTTTCCGCCACGTCGGATCCCATGGTCCGTCTTGCCGCCCCCCCCCCTCGCCTGGAGACCTCTCAACTAAGGTCCGAGCAGATGGAGTCGATCGCGCCACGTCGCCGATGCATCGGCGCCGTCGGCGTGGGGAAAATCAAGCTCCACATCGAGCCGCATCGCAGATGCGCCGGCGACGCGGCGTGATCCTCCGAGCCCATTCTGGGGAACAGACAATGGCATGAACATATTATCCCGGCAAAGCAACCTAACAGCGACGTGTAGGAGCATATCTGGAAACATTCCCCTTAAGATTCAGATGAGAATCCGGTTGTAGAATTCTGCTGTTCTCGCAGTCGTAGTCGCATTCGCGATGACACTCGCAGCGGCAACGGCAGTCGCAGTCACAGCCTCAGCCTCAGCCTGCCTCAGCCTCAGCCTCAGCCTGCCTCAGCCTCAGCCTGCCTCAGCCTCAGCCTCAGCTTCAGCCTCAGCCTCAGTCTGCCTTCAGCCTCGGCCTCAGCCTCAGCCTGCCTCAGCCTCAGCCTGCATCAGCCTCAGCCTCAGCCTCAGCCTGCCTCAGCATCAGCCTGCCTCAGCCTCAGCCTCAGCCTGCCTCAGCCTCAGCCTCAGCCTGCTTCAGCCTCAGCCTCAGTCTGCCTTCAGCCTCGGCCTCAGCCTCAGCCCTGCCTCAGCCTCAGCCTGCATCAGCCTCAGCCTCAGCCT